CCTCTCATAATGAAAATGTTAAACATAAAGTACAGGGATAGAACAATCCTCAGAAGGGAACATGTAGGATGACAGGAAAGGCTCCTGACTGGTGAGATCCTCCAAAACATAATGATGACATCCATGAACTGGAGCGAGCTCGTTGGGGTGTGATAAAGCCAATCTGGAAACACTGTGTAGACGTTCTCCAAGAACTCAGCACACTCCAGGTGTGGAGAAAGTCTCCAGGTGGGTTTAGCCTGTCATTTATCATAGATACAAACACACTGTAAACCGGGATGGATCACTATGCCATTTGCTCTCTTTTTTAGTCTGCTGGCATAGCTGTGTCAAAAATTCGATAGATCTGTACCTATGATCCGCTGTGCTTTATTTCTCCTCCCGAGACCGACACTTCCTATCCTCCATCCTACAGCCATCATACTACACTGCAGTGTGGATGGGAAGAATACTCTCCATGGTGCAATGATAGAAATGACCAGAATTCCTGGACACCAAAACACCAATCATATGAATGTGGAACTCTTTGGTGTAATCCTCTTTGGACATACTGCAAAAAGTTCTGCAATGTCTTCTCTTTTCACCTTGGAACTCCTATCTGAAGATATCCACCTGTAAACTTGTACACAAAGGGCATTTACTCTGTCAAAGATCTGCTGAACAACACTTACATAAGAACGTTTCAGGATCCCAGCCTCACTTATTTTCTGGACCAGAAAGACTTCTACAAATTCCTCAGAATTAGACATATGCTACCTCACCTGCACTGGTGTGAGAACACTCAGCCCATGGGCCTCATAACACTCTTCAACAGCTCTACACCTTCCAGCTCCCATCTCTCTACCTTCTACCACCTACTCCAAAAACAAAACTCATACAACAAACTCCCAACGATGGAATTCTGGAACTCTAATTCTCTATCTTTTGAAAAAAAAAAAAAAAAAAAAAACAATATTTTCTCATTTCTGTTTATAAAAAATATCCAATTAAGTCAAATTTCATCATAAATTTAGGTCAAAAATGTATTTTGCTATATGTCTTTGGTAAAAAAAAAAAATCCCAGTAACTGCATATTAATTGGTTTGTGTGAAAGGTATAGAACTACAAAACTATGGGATAGATAATGGAATTTACACAGCTTTTACTTTCTGACTGCCATCACATTTCTTGAGGTGCTAAAAATACCAGGACAGTACAAACACCCCCAAATGAGCCTTTTTCAGAAAGAAGACACCCTAAGCTATCTGCTGAGAGGCATGTTGAGTCCATGGAAAGATTTTTTTTTTTTTTTTTTTTTTCTCTTACACAAAATTGTCACTTAAGTGACATATTTCTCACACAAGCCATGGGTATATGTGGAATTACACCCCAAAATACATTCTGCTACTTCTACCGAGTATGGGGGGGGTACCACATGTGTGAGGCTTTTTGGGAGCCTAGCCACATACAGGAGCTGAAATCCAATGACCACTTTGAAAGCCTGAAAGTGCATAACTTCCTCATTTCACTTCCTCACTACCTATCACAGTTTCGGAGGCCCTGAAATACCAGGATAGCACCAACCCTGACCCCATATCTGGCACGCTTGCTGGGGAAAATTTGTTTGAATGCAAGGTGGCCATAAAAATTAATGAGGGACTCATCAACGCAGATTTTTTGCTGGGGAGTATAGACATCTGCACATTTTTGGTTGAGGTGATTTATGAAGGGCCTAATTTTGTGGAGTCAGTAAAATTCAGGGTCACCCCGAGATGTGTTGTTGAAGTGCATAAAATGCAATATCTTCTCATATCTATGCCTGGCCATGGCAGCAGAGAACACACGGCATATGATGAATCGGTTCTGTGGACCAATACAACCGCAATTCATTTTTCTTAGTAATACTCATGTTGAGGGTTAGGCCCAAAAAAACCTTAAATTTGGAAAACGTATTAGGTTTCCATTCAAATAGTCTGGTAAGGTTTGAACTTGGGTTGGTGGCGATAAACTGATTTATACATTGATTTAATCCACAATTAATGCATACAGATCTTCCATGAAAAACCGCTCCAAAAAATCAAGGGGGGTATTTAAATTGGCTGTTTCCACCTGAATTCCGGGTTTGGGAGTGAATGGGGGAAGTACGGGGAGCTGCAGAATTTGTGGGCTGCCAATTGGGATTTGCAAGCACATCCAGAAGGATACTAGGGGCTCTATGAGCCTGTGTGCGAATTCTTGGTGGCTGCGGGACAATACTTGTACTCACCACCGCACCAGCTTGTACTGCACTTTTGGGACTCGCCATGTCACCAAGTGATACTGCAGTGCTGCTATGTATAAGACCAGGATGTACTAGGCCGCTGGTGCTCGCCAGTTCACCAAAAGGAAGTGCGGCACTAGTACTGGCACTCTGCTGCATATGCAGAGGTTGTACCACCTCAGGAACCTGGGAATGGGGTCGGGTACACCTGACCTTAGCAGGGACCTCTTCTCTCCATCGTCTGAGTGATCTGTCAGGGTGCTGCTGCTGTCTGCAGGTTTGTATGTTCTGAGGCTGATTGTATCAGTGAGTCTTCCCCTTCGCTCTCACCTGACATGCTCAGAATCCTGGAGGCCTCTTCACTACTTTTATTGGACATTTTGGCCACTAAATGTATAGGTACCTAGTGCGACTCACGGGAAAAAGAGCACCTGGCTGTCAAGGACTTTTTGATTTTGCGAAACACTGCGGTTTTGTGTGCAATGTATCAAGTGACAGTGACCTACTGACACTGCACTTGCTGGGGGAGAAGGGGGGGTAAACGTAGGGGCTAAATGCAGGTGCTGGCAGGTGTGTGAATGCTGGTATAGTGCTGATCTAATCAAAGATATTGATCCATTCAGACACTAAACTAGCAATGGAGGTTTATTGTATATGAGCGTCTTCCTGGCAATCAAGGGGTTAAATGTGATGACTGGTGTAGTGACGGGCAATCTGACGCTATCTGGGAGGGACGCTAACGCTATCTGAAGTTGCCGGAGACACTAATACAGTGATCAGCAAAAAATCTGTACACTGTACTAATGACACTGGTGACAGGGCAGTGAAGGGGTTAACTGGGGGCGATCAAGGGCTTAAATGAGTCCTAAATGTGATTTTACTGTGTGTGTAGTGCGTGGATCTGCTTTCTTTCTCTCTGGGATGGAATGTGCTCAGAGAGAGAAGATTTCATCATTTCCTGTACCTGTATAATGTAAACACAGGTACAGGAAGATCTCTGATAGGGCAGGGATCGATCATCAGATCCAGGCCAAACATCACTGGCCTGAACATGATGATTGGTCAGGAACTGAATCATGGCAACGGCAGGTTGGTGCGTGCACACACGTCCCCGGTCACCGCGGGAGCATGAACCACATATATACACATGATTTTGTGCAGGGAGTCCACCCTGTAGAAGTATTTCTATTATAGGGGGGGACTTAAAGCAATTAAGGAAAGCACGCGCTGTATTTCTATTTATTGACATTTTTGCACATTTATATGAGTATGTTCAGGTTTGTGGCAGAGTTGTTTTAGTTGAATTCACTGTTAAGTTGGTTTATTGATTGTTGATCACCTTTTTTAGCTGCTTGTGGGAATACTTTGTATTATTTGTGCTCCTCTTCACTAGTGTACCTTTCCAGTTCCTGTGTTTTATAAATATGGACACAGATGATCTCTGAATTGGTACAGGTGATCAGCAGGTCCAGGTGATCAGCAGGTCCAGGCCAGAAATCATTGGCCTGGACCTGATAATCAGCTTGTGATGTACTGAATGACAGCACAGTCAGGGCGGTGGGCTCACACGTGTACATGTACTGTATGTGATCTGGTGAAGCGGGACTGCCCTGCCGCAGTATAAGTGTGGTGGTCGGTCCTGAACTGGGTAAAGTCAGATTGTTTGCTGATGATCTTTCACTTACTTTGGTCCAACCCAACACCTCCCTGCCAGTCCTATTCTCTGTACTCCATACATTTCCCTTTCCTCTGTAAAACAGAATGATAGATTCCTTGGCCCACCTCCTACCTGGATTATTTGGGCATTCATCTCCCTCGCTCGTACAACACACTCCATGAGGCCAACTACATCCCCACTTTCAAATACTTGAGAGTCCTACTTCTGTCCTGGACTCATCTTCACCTCTCCTGGATAGGGAGGATCAGTTCTGGGCCATAGAGGGCAGGAGGGGTTGTTTTGTGTTTACACCGGCAGTTCCATTACTCCAGTCACTTTCCGGGTCGTTACCATCCCCCATTATTATCACTGTCCCAGCCCTTTCATCTGTGGGAGGAGCTGAGTCTCCACCTCCTCATTAACACTGGGAGGCCTAACAAACTCCAATGATGACCTTTGTAGTACCGCCCCCCATGTGCAGTTCCACCCATAATACTTCAGCCTCATCACACTCTCCATCAACTAGGTCCTCTTTCACACTCGCTCTGAGATCACTTCTCACATAGAGACAGACACCACCACCTTTCCTATTTCCCCCGTCTCTCTGAAAGAGAACCTAGCCAGGAATATGAATGGCCCAGTCATGTGAGGAATGAAGCCAAGATTCAGCAATACCAATTCAATCCTAGTTCTCTTCATGCACCAAACCTTCCAACTCACCTATTGTGCTGGGCACACTTCTGGCATTGGGGAACAAACACTTTCATTCACTGACACCTTGTTTCATTCACCAACACCTTGTCCATTCACCCCACACCTTTGTCCATTCACCGACACCTTGTCCATTCACCACCTTGACACCTTGTTCACATGGATTTTCTGTAATTGTTTTACTTTAATACAAATGGTACCAATTCCACTGGTTGCAACATGGGAACCTTCTTATCTGCCATAGCCCTCCCCTCATCTTTCCCCATTCCAACCCCAATAAGAACTGACCCCTGTCTGATCTGTCTACCCCGTTATAATCACTGATGTACAGGAAGACAGGACTTCAGTGAGGAACATTTCCCTCACTCAGGACAGAAATACGGCTTCTCCCCCCGTGTGAGATCTCTGATGTCTGCAAAGACTGGACTTCACTGAAAAACATTTCCCACACTCAGGACAGGAATATGGCTTCTCCCCTGTGTGAGATCTTTGATGTGTGTGCAGACTGAACGTCTGTGAAAAACATTTCCCACACTCATGACAGGAATACGGCTTCTCCCCCATGTGAGATTTCTGATGTCTGTAAAGATGGGACTTCTGTGAATAAAATTTCCCACACTCAGGACAGGAATACGGCTTCTCCCCTGTATGATATCTCTGATGTGTGTGAAGACTGGACTTGTCTGAAAAACATTTCCCGCACTCAGAACAGGAATACGGCTTCTCCCCTGTGTGAGATCTCTGATGTGTGTAAAGATTGGATTTCTGTGAAAAACATTTCCCACACTGAGGACAGGAATACAGCTTCTCCCCCGTGTGAGATATCTGATGTCTGTAAAGACTGGACTTCTGTGAAAAACATTTCCCGCACTCAGGACAGGAATAAGGCTTCTCCCCCATGTGAGATCTCTGATGGCTGCAAAGACTTGACTTCAGTGAAAAACATTTCCCGCACTCAGGACAAGAATACGGCTTCTCCCCTGTGTGAGATCTCTGATGCCTGTGAAGATGGGACTTCTGTGAATAACATTTCCCGCACTCAGGACAGGAGAAGCTCTTCCCTGTTGGAAGGCCGGCCCGGTCCCGCACAGTCTGAGGTTCCTCAGGATACGAGGAATCCGATGGTCCATCTACACTGGGTGGTGCCGGATGGACATTGGAGGGAGCCGGGTTTTCTCCTGGACTATACTGTGTGATGTCCTCATCTTCTACTTTCCAGTCTGGAGACAAAGTGAGACAATCCTCGGAGGTTTTCCTCATCTCCCGGCCATGGACTAAAATACAAAGACAAAGAGGATTACTAGACAGGAGCTGATTGGTTCCCCCAAACAGGACTCTCACCCACATCAGGCAGCTTGGTCTTGAGGAGCTTACAATTCCACCCTCAAGGGAACTAGGAAATGGCTCCTCTGATCTCCTACCAGGTCATTTCTTTATTCATGGACCTTAGTCAGAGAGTGAGGAAACAACCAGAACTGTCTTTTATAGGAGGGACAGTGATGAGGGGATTATAGGACGAGGGTCCCCACCCCCTCTATCACTCATCGCCATCTTCCCAACACAAGAAGTACTGCACTTCCTTATTTAGTCCATGATTTAGTCATGAAGAACAGCGGGGCTGAGCCCACCCGAGGTCAGAGAGTGAGGATGGGGGTAGAACAACCAAGATGAAGACTGGACTGATCCTGAAGACCACCATCATTGGGGTATTGACTCCTCCTCATTATCACTTTCTGTTTAAGGGTCCAAAGTTGGAGGATGTTATCACATTATTATCACCATGTAAAAGTCTGTGCTCCAATCACAGCATCATCTGATATAAAATGTCCATCTGGTAGGAAATGGGAGTGTAACAAAAGAGAATCCATAATTTATGTGTGTAATATATAGCCGTGGGGGGAGGGGGGGGAGCAGAAGTCAGGACTATGGAATGCTTACAACATAGAGTATATAGTGCAGGGTCAGGAGTATGTAATGTACAACAGCGTATATAGTGCATGGTCCAGGAGTATGTAATGTACAACCTAGAGTATATAGTGCAGGGGTCAGGATATGTAATGCAGCAGCCGAGTATATAGTGCAGGTCAGGAGTATGTATGGTACAACATAGAGTATATAGTGCAAGGGGTTCATGTAGTATGTAATGTACAACATAGAGTATATAAGTGCAGGGTAGGATATGTAAAGTGCAACATAAGAGTATGATAGGTGCAGGGTCCAGGAGTATTTCTCAGATTGGGGGGCATAGAGTCACCAAAATGTGTGCTGCTTTTGCGTGACTGTTGTTTTTGAAGAGTGGTCTAAGACGCAGTTGAACACAGCCAGTCCTAATCATACCTTCCCTGCTATTTCACAGGTAAATGCTGCTATGCCTGCTCTCCACTCTAAACTACAACAGCACCTTGCCTCCTTTTAATTTCGAACAATAGTGTAGTATATATATATATTTTCTGTTATTGGTGTTGATTAGTTCTCACCCCTCTTTGCACCCCTTTTTTTGACTGTGGCTGTGTTGGGCTGTGTTGGAACATCCCCCCTTTTTTGTGATCCCTTTTCGTTATAAAATTTGGGCGGGGGAGAGTGTTATTTTGGGCCTCTCCCTATAAATTTGGATCAGCTATGGGGGTGGGGCACAGATGGGGGGCGCATAGTCCCAGATGGGGTGCTGCTTTTGATGAGTGTGTTTTGATGGAGTGCGGCACAGTTGAAAACCGCAGTTGAACTAAAGCAGGAGAATCAAGAAAAGGAAGAAACACAAGAAAAATCTCCTCATGTGGACAGACTGCAAACAAACCCCGGGAAAAAAACTCCCACAGTCTGAGTTGTGGGGGAAAGGGTTAATCTCAATTCCTCTCTAAAAATCTATTTCAAAAATTTGAAAATACTAACTCTCACAGAAGAGAACGTTGATGAAAAACAATACGGAGTTTTACTCGGCTACTGTTTTACAAATTTAAAAAAAGTCTGTAACCTGCCCAAAAAGTGTCTATCACCCCCCAGCACATTCTTTGATTTTTGCAAACCGTATTTTATTTTAATACTTTTTAGGATGGATCTGTTATGAAATCGTTTAGCTAATGTTTTTGATTGGTTGAATCGATATTGGTTTTAAAAATCTGATTTGGGGAGAGAATCCTCCCCCATAATTGTATTTTAAAACCCTTTTGTA